GTTATGTAGTAACTAACATGGTATTGAATTATGTAAGGTGTAAGTAAACATGCCAATATTAAGCTATAGATATATGTAATGAGAAGATCGATTGAAGAACTTATGTATGTACACCTGTTACACCTTATTGAGTAGCATAGACCAACCATTAGCATTCTCCATTCAACTCTGTCCTTGATCATCTATTTCATGTCTGCATTCAATTCTCAACGTGTAGAGTGTTCTTTGATCGTCCTCTTTTCCGTTTCCTTTCAACATTCCAAGTTAGGGCTTGCCTCGTGATGCAATCTGATGTAATTCTACAATGTATGTCCTATCCACTTCTCCTGTCTTTTTCCGATTTCCTTTTCAAATGGAAGCTGATTTGTTATCTCCTACAGTAGGTTGGTTGTTTTGGATGATGGTATCCAGTCAATGAACATGAATAAAATATGAAAACTATACGGATCTTCCATCAGTTGTCTCTTAAAGACTCTATCGATTCTTCATTCTTGCTATTATTTTGATTGCTTTCAATTTTCTTCTATCTTTTTTTTCTTTCATTTCATTCTTTTCAGGTATACTACTTTTGCTTGGTGCTACATACTACTTATATCTGCCAACATGAGTAGCATACACTATCCTGATTCTAGAAATAAGTAGTTCTAGTTTGTTATTCAGTTTAATTCTGAGAATAATCTTGATGATTTGGATAGAATTTACCATTGGGATGAGTATTCTTTTTTTCTACTTTTCAGCATTACAATTTACTAATGCACGGAACGATAACACTAGGGATAACTGAAACTTAGTACAAGAGAATAAGTATCATACATATCGTTCATGAGATGAACTGCTGAAGAATGTAATCAAACATTAGAAGATAAGTAAAAGTAAATACATATGCGCAATACAAGTCACTTGATTTGTGTGTGAGTAATGATACTGCTTGGGTGCCCAAACTGAAGCAAGCGATTTACTTAGGGAGTCACACCCGGAGCCTTCAATCTAAAGGTCTGATCCATAAGGCGGTGGAGCAACATCAAGAAATGCAGTTCCATGGTCACCGGTGACAAATAATTGGTTCATACGCCATTTGTTCTATCAGGATCCAGTAGCCCATGTGCACCATTAGTTTGGAATTAGGGTTTTCTAACTTTTCCAGGTGAATCCTCCATATCCACTAACCAGGTTAAAGCACCGGATATTCCCTTTTTGTCCTCTCAGTTTCATAAACAACATCTCAGTTGCGAGGAGGCAGTGGGTAGGACTTGCCTGATAGTGACTGTATTCGCGTGTCCATGTGAGATCATTTGGAGATGGAAAATTGACTCTCCCCATCCTTGGTCGTACCGGGGTATTTAGAAGCGTTTCATATTTCTTATCGTGAAGCGTCTATTATATAGGCTAATTGAAACGCTTACTAACCTTAAGCATGTACAAACTCAAGTATAATGAGAGCTCTGTATCAACAACCTATGAATTCCAGCAAAATCACAACAACTGATGCAGTATTAACATAAAGTGAAAATATTTTAAGATACATAAGATCCATCGAAGAGAGGAAATTGATTGACATTCATTTTGTCCTTACCCAATTATTGAACCTGTAACCTTCGACTTACTTTACGAGCGTTTAGACTCTAGATAGTTGTATAGTTTCGTGAACTGACAGAAATTAAACGTTTAAGTTATTCGATGTCATCTCAACGGTCTAAAGCTTGGGAGCTATCAGTATTATTCCAAAGTCCTGTGTTCAAAAGCTGGTGAGGTTGCAGATTTACACTACTGAGTAGTCGCAAACTAGAACGAAACAGTTTTCCATTGTTTCTAGATTCTCTAGGATTTCTTAGTTTTGATGAGTCCACAATGTAATTCGTAAGATTCAATCATCTTACCAAACCAACTACAGTAATTTTACACTGAGTGTTTGACGATTTATTCTAGAGCATCTGAAGATTACTACCTGAGATATGACATTACGAAATTTATTCCATATCTAGTCAAACATGTTAGGGAATATTGGGAATCTGCCGCTTATTTGGTTAAATTGAAATGAGTTGTTTTATTACGTTGAAAACTTTTGTTGCTCACACACCTAAGAGACAGATATCATGACTTCTTATTAGGACAACTAATGCATAAATTTTAATAGACGCCAGTCAACATTATAGTCACTAGCATTTGATCACAACCGTGTTCGTAGATTCCCCAGTGGTACACATCTCGAATACAGGACCTTCAGTGTGAACGCTGAACTTCTGGCCCACTGATTCAGCATTCAGTCGTGTGTATGTCTAACTCCAATCATTCGACGTCTCTGCACAACTCTAATCACTAACAGTAGTGGATGACTATCTCACACCCAACATGGTTGAATTTCTCAAATGAACAATGATTTCTAATTCAGAATGGTATTGACCAAAAATAACGTGACATTCACAAGTTCATACCTATTATGACTTTAATTGTACTAAAAATATTCTTCATTGTTTCCTTTGTACCGATTAAACTTGTGTTAACTTACTTCGTTTATTTACATACACTGAAGAAGTGACTTAAATTAGGTCACGAAACATCAGAAATACAGACCTTTACTTAATGGGATATCAAAAAGTGTTATTATTATACAGCTATTACAATTTCTCATTAGAACTCCATGAGTTACATCTTGGAACTAGTCACAAATGAATGCAAGTTTATCATTGTTATAAAAGAATTCGTAGAGATTGTAAAAGTTGTAATTTGAATCACGAAATGGTCTCAGCTAGACCACCATCGGAAACCTGTTAGCAGTGACTACCGTCTCGTCCTAGTATGGGACTTCTCAATATAGTGCACATCTATGATCTCACCCCGCGAGATCCGAATCTCAGACTTATCGGTCTCATGCGCAACCGCTTAACCTTTAGACCACGGAGCCGGTATTCAGCGGTGTTAGTGTCTAGCTCCAACCAATTCACGGAATCGCGCCACCACCCACTGTTGTCTTCATTGACTTACTAACTTCACTCGTCAAGGCTTCTTACTAGAACTCCAAGAAACAATTCTTGGAGACCGTCACTTATGTTGTCGATTAACGGGTAAATTAACAGCCTGGTTGATCTAAACTGAACTGAGTAACAATTAACACCAACTAATCAATAACTTACTATGTGAACATATATTCCCCATATCATTGCGTGTAAATACTCCTTCTCAGGATTTGATTACATGTCATAGACGATTGGGAACAAATCGATTTAATGTATCATTTCCACTGTAATCGATTAAGTCATTCTTCACAATTTTATTGATAATACGTTGTATTGATTATGTTGTACCCGTCTTCAAATTACCTGACACAAACTTATTCAAATGCATCTATTTATAGGGTTAAAGATCCATTTCATTCTAACTTTCCTAGTCTATTGAATTCATTTGATATTGTTTGTTTGAATCTTCTTATTGACGTTTAGGACTGCAATGGATCAGTCACTCATTATCATAAGTGCATACTGGGCATATTGTCTCAATATAACCTTAGTTTACAAGAATTATATGCAAAGATGGATAGTGGCTAGCAGTGGAATCCGGGGAGCGCGTTTCGTTCTATTTGAGACTCATTCTTCTTTGCATAGAAAGCTTGTGACTTAAGACTACATCGAGGCGATCTGCATAGAATGTACACATGCCAACAAGAGATTAGTCAATTGCAGTCCTTATCAACAATGCGACGATAGAAGCAAACAACACCAAGTGAATTTAAACTTCACCCCATTGCTATCAGGAATCAGTAGCTGAGTGGATAGCGCAGTGAACCGAACGGTACTGGGTTGGAGTTTTGGAGTGAAAATCAACATTGAAATGCAGATATGTCCAGTTGAAGAGTGTTAAATTCATATAGTACAATCCACAACTGAAGAAGAAAAACACAAATTTTGTACTGTAATCATCATAAATGAATTTCTAGACCAATTTCTGCAAACCTAAACATTCCATCGTCTCAAACTTTACTGTTCATTTTGCAAATATCAGTCCATTGTCTCAGATTTCATTTTTTATGAATTTTCATGAAAATTGCGGCGCGCTGACCTCCATAGCTTCGTCGAACTACCGGGACACCAACATCTGACATACACCTGACCCCTTCGATGTTCAACGCCTACACTCCAGCGATCTACCGAGCCATCTACACCCGATGTCCGTCCAGCAGCCGCACGTCCTACCGTTCCTCTGAAATACATTCTATGCCTGACCATCGTTATATACTACTTACGTGGATATAATTAGCCTACACCACACATTCACTATATTTTATAAACTGTAATTTATGTGAATGACGCTTAGACGAAACAGATTCATTCGAGAGATCATGAAAAATGGTCGAGTTTGAAATACTTTTAATTCACTTCACTTGTGAGGCATTATGCAACAGTCTATCTAATCTCAATCATTATTACTATTTTAATAATTAAATTCATCAGTCAATTAAAGCTAGATCACCATGAAAAACTTGAATGCACTATACAGACTCTTGGTTCAATTGTGAGCTCGCAGGTCCTGGGTTCGAATCCTGCTAGCGAGATCGTGGATAAGCACTGTTGAGGAGTCCCATTCTGGGGCGAAAAAGTCGTCAAATGCTTCTAAGTTTTCCACAAACGGTCTAGTTTCAATTGACTCATGAATTCAACTATTCAAATTACTGAAGTCTCCACAAGACCCCCCCCCTCCTTCCTGAAAATAACAACTAATACCAACTAATTTTCAATCAGATTTTCATTAAAATAATAAAGAAAAAACTAACATTATCTATACAAAAGATAATGAATGGAAACATGTTTGTTTCTTGGCAATATGAACGTCTAAATATTATTTGGAATAACATGTTACACTCAAATTGTGGGGGGGGGGTGCGTACGTATGTGTCTGTGTGTGTGTGTAAATGAACTTTTAGTTGCTTGGCGTCTATAAATAAGAAGTGACTATTCATTATAAATTCTGATTGATCATTGGTTTAGTAATTGTGAAATATCATTTCAATGTTGACGATTTGCAGGATCTTTGTATTATATTTCATTATTGAATTAATATCATCTCAGACGGGACTTGTTCCAGTAAACCATGGTCCCAAAGATGTATCCATTCAAACTAATCCTGGTAACTAGTATTCACTAATTCATAACTTTGTTTATTCAGATGAAGATATAGATCCACGTCCTATCGTATTAGAATTAAAACATGAGGTTACCAAATTAAAAGAAGCCCTTGATACTTTAGTCAATAAAATAAACGCTATACCACCTTCAAGTATAGCAACTAAATACAATCATAATGGATTATTGTCTAGTATATGTATTATACTTATAGTATATTACCATTTACAGAAATCCTAATCATATGCTTACTATTATTAATCATTTTGAAATAAAGATATATTGTAAAAGAATCTGTCATTATCAATAGTCTATATGATTGTATTCATCAAGCAGTTATGATAGCATTATCAATCATTATGATCAAAAACAAATGTGTTACCAAGGGGATTATTCGTCTGAGTTCGAATACATTACCCTAGGTTACAGTTTGTATAACCTTTATGATTAAGATCATAAACCATCACCGAAAACTTAAAAGTACTGGAAAGTCGTTTCGTCCTAGTATAGGACTCCTCAGCGGTGTGCATCCACGATCTCACTCGTGGGATTCGAACCCTGGGCCTTCAGTCTCACGTGAGAACGCTTAACTTCTAGACCTCTAGATCCCACCACTTTAGTGACCCTCGAATACCTGATTTCAGGTAGATTGTAAGAATGATTATGATCGAAATATACATGTCGTCAATTCTCGTATATAACTATCGACTTAAATGGCGTTGGTGAATAATGGGATTGAAATAAGTCAAATATAAGAATGAAGTTTTGAATATGTATGTTTTATGCAGTCATTAATCTGAACAGACAATCAGAAGGACGAACAGAAGGAATCAAAGAGAAGAGAGGACAGAAAAGTGAAATGACACGTAGTGGAGAATGCGTATGAGCTAACTCGATTTAACCAAGAGTTAATCGATATCTATAGTCCAACAGAAGCAAGTTATAGATATGTGATGAATAGACTAAGAAGTACACATGCATGTCCTCATATAACAACAGTCAAAGTTGATAAGTAAATAAGTGATAAGATGAAAATGTGATTCAAAAAGAATTAAGAGATTAACCTGTCGGGAAGCTAGAATAAGCCATATAGGTCTAACATAGTAACTGACACTACAATATCAGTTTTGATAACATTTAAGTAGTAAGTTGAACTCGAAGCAAATAACTGAGTTCATATGTAATTAATTATAACACAATACATTATGGATATTTCATCTTGTTCATCATAAAGGTACACATAAACAATTCTGACATGTTTGTTTCTTGTTGATCACGATAAGGTCCTCCTCTACAGCATATTCTAGTGCACGCGTGGCGAGAATGTTGTTTACGAAATTAACAGGACGGAAAGCGAATGTCCAGCGCGAGAGCCCACCTAATAGAGTTGGAAAATCCTGATTCTAAACCAACGGTACACATGATCTTCAGGATACTGAAAGAATAAATGGTGTATGAACTAATCGTTGGTCACCGGCTATCATGAGACTGCATCTCCTTACGTTACTCCACTACCTTGTGGATCAGACCTTTAAGTCAATGGCTCTGGGTTTGGCCCCCTAAGAAAACCGCCTGCTTCGGTTTGGGAACCTGGGCAGTATCCCAGCACTCACACAAATCAAATGAGATTTGTGTGGCCCATATATATATATGATACCCCCTTGTACCAATTATCTATGTGTTCAAATAAATGATAAATAACTACACGCAACTACACAAAAAAAGTGGGCATGCATCATTCTTAGTTCACAAGATATTAATACTCATAGTATCAATACTTTACTTTGATTAGGCATTCACTGTCATGATCGCCTAATCTTTGGGAATGATTCAATTCTGTCGAATAATTTGTGATGTAGACATTACTCTACGTACATCGAAATTTACCTCTTTTTTCCTTTGACATGTAATGCTGAAAGATTAAGCCAATAGACATTTTCGCTTCAACCAAGTTAGCTGTTTGTTGGAACTCATTCACTTGATATATCTATATACTTGATATGAATAAGTTTGATAATAAAAAATGGGATCGTTGTTATCAGATGTCAAACTCAAGGAACTTAACATTAGTTTGTTTTGAGCCAACGACAATTGTATCTGTATGCTAAAGTGGTATGGCAACTCCAACTGGTGTACATACATACGAAGTTCTACGTTGTTACTGACTGACTGACTGACCGACTAACTAACTGTTTTAAGTCATCCATATTTCAGATTTACCCGAAATGATGTTTGGAAAATTAGGGATTCTTATCGATTCCATGTCGATGTTATGATAACAATAATCTCATTATCTATTATTGATTTTACGACTCACCACTTTACGATAAGCTTCTTATAATTTCTTATATGAATTCTCTACTCTAAAAATCTCATATTCATTAGTATTCAGATTATAATTGATATATAACTCTCTATTTTGAACATTTATCATTGTTTTTGATCAAGATCATGAATCGATTGATGTTAGACCACCATTGAGAAGCTGGAAGCACTGGACGGCCGTTTCGTCCTATTGTGGGACTCCTCAGCAGTGCGCATCCACGATCCCGCCCGCGGGACTCGAACCCAGGGCATCCAGTCTCGCGCGCGAACGCTTAACCTACTGGATCACTGAACCGGCATCCAGTGGTGTTAATGTCTAACCTCAACCGATCCAAGAAGTTGCGCGACACCTAAACTGATCGTTACCATGTGCTCACTAGTGACTAACTTCGTGAGAAAATTCTCGGAGTTCTGGTGAGAAGCTGTGACCAGTGGAGCTAATCCGTGTCGGGTAGATACAAGTGTCTAACTCAGTACAGTGGAAGATGGTCGCACAATTTCGTGGATTGGTTGATGTTAGACACTATCACCATTGGATGCCGGCTCAGTGGTACAGTAGATTAGGCGTTCGTGCGCGAGACTGGACGCCCTGGATTCGAGTCCCGCGAGCGGGGTCGTGGATGCGCGCTGCTGAGGAGTCCCACAATAGGACGAAACGGCCGTTCAGTGCTTCCAGGTTTTCGATGGTGGTCTCACATCAATCGGTTCATGATCTCAATCAAAAGCTCAACAATCTCCTTAACCACTGAACTGATAGTTTTCACTGTATTCTTGTGAAGCATCGATGAGTTTGTTAATTTAAAACGTTAAAACGAAGTAACCAGTGATTATTGTTTACTTCCCGACAAAGTTGCCAAAGGTAAATGTTGATGAATTTTCTATACACTATTTACAGAATTTAGTACTTGTTATAACTTATAGCCTTGTATCCTTATCAATATATAACGTAATGATACCGTCAATCAGAGAACAGTGAATTATCAACTGGATCAATGACACATAAAACCTGTACAAGTAGTCTAGAATCTTTATCAATCCTGCTTACTGTCCTAGCTCAGCCAGTTAAGTCCAGAACATCAATCTCAGCCTCTATGATATGAATCATGTCTCCCAACCATATTGGGTTTATATACAAACCAAACAGACCACATCACATCATAAAATAGAAAATAACATTTGTACAAGATCAAGTTAATACTGGCTGTCGATGTGGGAGATTGTCATTAATAGACTGGACATAACTGAAGAATGGTAAATTATACAATAATAGTTTATAGGTCAGAGTAAAGCTTGTAATAAGAGGAGTATAGATAAACATAAACGAGAACACCAGTGGAGGCGACCAAATATATTTCAACACAACAAAATACAAATACAAAATATCTTACTAGATTCTGAGAAGTATACAGTAAATATTTCATTTGCAAAATGTAAATCAATCGTCTAAGGTTTCATTGTTCTTTCGTTTCCACACCAAACATTCTCTGTTCTCGTTCTCTTCGATTCGAACTTCCTAACCTTCTGTTGCCAGGTATTACACTTTCGAATGATGATACCTCAATTCCTTCCTTCCTTCCTTCATTCCTTCTTTATTTACTTACTTACTTACTTGCTTACTTACTTACTTGCTTACTTACTTACTTACTTACTTACTTGCTTACTTACTTACTTACTTACTTACTTACTTACTTACTTACTTACTTACTTACTTACTTACTTACTTACTTACTTACTTACTTACTTACTTACTTACTTACTTACTTACTTACTTACTTACTTACTTACTTACTTACTTACTTACTTACTTACTTACTTACTTACTTACTTACTTACTTACTTACTTACTTACTTACTTACTTACTTACTTACTTACTTACTTACTTACTTACTTACTTACTTACTTACTTACTTACTTACTTACTTACTTACTTACTTACTTACTTACTTACTTACTTACTTACTTACTTACTTACTTACTTACTTACTTACTTACTTACTTACTTACTTACTTACTTACTTACTTACTTACTTACTTACTTACTTACTTACTTACTTACTTACTTACTTACTTACTTACTTACTTACTTACTTACTTACTTACTTACTTACTTACTTACTTACTTACTTACTTACTTACTTACTTACTTACTTACTTACTTACTTACTTACTTACTTACTTACTTACTTACTTACTTACTTACTTACTTACTTACTTACTTACTTACTTACTTACTTACTTACTTACTTACTTACTTACTTACTTACTTACTTACTTACTTACTTACTTACTTACTTACTTACTTACTTACTTACTTACTTACTTACTTACTTACTTACTTACTTACTTACTTACTTACTTACTTACTACTTACTTACTTACTTACTTACTTACTTACTTACTTACTTACTTACTTACTTACTTACTTACTTACTTACTTACTTACTTACTTACTTACTTACTTACTTACTTACTTACTTACTTACTTACTTACTTACTTACTTACTTACTTACTTACTTACTTACTTACTTACTTACTTACTTACTTACTTACTTACTTACTTACTTACTTACTTACTTACTTACTTACTTACTTACTTACTTACTTACTTACTTACTTACTTACTTACTTACTTACTTACTACTTACTTACTTACTTACTTACTTACTTACTTACTTACTTACTTACTTACTTACTTACTTACTTACTTACTTACTTACTTACTTACTTACTTACTTACTTACTTACTTACTTACTTACTTACTTACTTACTTACTTACTTACTTACTTACTTACTTACTTACTTACTTACTTACTTACTTACTTACTTACTTACTTACTTACTTACTTACTTACTTACTTACTTACTTACTACTTACTTACTTACTT